GTATCAAAATTTCTATATCATATTCTATGTAATTGAAATAAAAAAAAAAAAGATAAAGATGTAGAAACCCAGAACCTCCCTTTCCCAAAAAAGCATCATCATATCAGGCGACTATAGTTTGAACCTGGGTATTGAAAATGATATATTTCATTTATTCTGGCGGAAGAAAAGAGAATTGAAACTTTCTATGTTTTCCACCACTTTTATTTGTAACTAACATTACTGCAGTTTCGTCCTATAAAGACATTTTCGAACTTACACGTTTTAAGTTACTTACTGCAGTTTCGTCCAAACTGTAGGACCAAACTGTAGTGACGTTAGTTGCAAATAAAAGTGGTGAAAAAAAAATGCTATCCGAAGATTGAGACCTGGAAAATAGAACAAACTTTCCGATACAAGTAATCATGAAATTACTAGGATGCTGTGTACGAAACTGCTACTTTCAACTGAAGGACGAATTCTTTACGCAAGATGAGGAACTGCCAATGGGATCGCCACTTTCATCTGTTATATCCAGTGGAGTGATTTGAAACTCTGGCCATTGGAAAAGCCTACAAGAAGCCCCGAGTCTGGTTGAGATACGTAGACGACACCTTCATAATATGGAACCATGGAAATGCAGAACTAGACACTTTCCTGAAGCACATCAACAACGTAAGTCCTTCCATCACTTTCACAGTGGAGAAGGAAGTCCACAACGAATTGCCTTTCTTAGACGTATTGGCGAAGAGGACCGACATGATTGGTGACCTTGATAACATCTTATCCGCTGTTTGTCCTGTTTCTGATGATGTGATATGCATGGGAGACTTCAACGTTGACATTTTCAAACTACCCAATCCCCTACTCAACTGCTTTGAATGTTACAATTTGGAACAAATTATTAATGAGCCTACTAGAATCACCAACGTTTCTAGCACGCTCATTGACCCGATTTTCGTTAGTAATAATAATCATGTTGTAAGATCTGGTACTTTATCATCCCAAGGCATTTCAGATCACAGGCTAGTTTACGTTGAATATCTAACAAAGAAATTCAAAATAGAACCCAAACTTGTAACATACCGCTGTTTCGACAATTTCACTTTACATACTTTTTTATCAGATTTATACCAGTTACCGTGGTTCGAAATTATAAGTGAAAATGATATTGATAATAAATTGTACAATTTCAATTCATTTTCAATATCTACTTTTGACAGACACGCCCCTCCTAAAAAAGTTAGAATTACCAAACCACCCGCTCCTTGGCTCACTCAAAATCTCAGACTTCTTATGAAAGAACGTGATAAAGCCTTTCAAAAATTCAAAAAAACTAAATCTGTTAATGATCGTATGAGGTATAAAGAATTGAGAAATTTACCTTGTCAATAGTTAGAACTGATAAAAGGACATATCTCAAGTCTGTCTGTTCTGAAAAAATACCACGCAAAACCTGGAATGCTCTTTCTAACCTCAATGTTCGTTCAAAAAAACAATATTCATTACCCAATCACCTCTCGAATCCCGATGAAATAAACAACTATTTTGCCCAATTCGTACAAAACGTTTCTAATAATTGTGATGAAAATATTGAATTAAAAACTCCCGCTGGCTCAATATGAAAAACCGCATGATTCATCATTTGGGTTGTTTTGTCCATAAATTGATCATCCTTCCCCATTCTCCTCTTTTAATACAAAAACTAATTCTGCGTGAGAATATTCACTCAAGAAACATCAGACATAAAAACAAATTAACTATGCCACAACATCGCACTGCACAGTTTCAGAGATCATTTCTTTTTGGTGCTGTAAAACTCTATAATTCATTGCCTGAGCAATTGAAGAGATTCAATATCAGGAAATTCAAATACAAATATAAAAATTATATCTATGATAGTCAGTTATGTCAACTTTTACTTTTTAGACAACAGATCAATTGAATTAAATTATTTATCAACTATCTTTAGAAGGTAATCACAAATTATTATTTTATTTACCGTTCTCATTTCGTGGTACCATCACTGTTAATTGCTTTTATTTTTGTATGTTTGCGTGCATTATGGAGTGGTGCTTGTTGGTTGATTTAGAGTAGCTTTGAGCTAGACTTCGCCAAGGAGTACCAGAATCTCCTGTAAACTATTTTCATTTTCAAATATATCTTTGTATTGTTTTTTTTTGTAATATCAATGAAGCCGATTTATTATTATTATTTTTATTATTAAATGGGAAACATCTGTATACCGAAAACCCACTCACACAGAACAGAACAGAACAGAACAGAACAATCGACTAAGAGAGGAATCATCAAGACCCTACTAAACCGTGGTTTTTGGGCTCTGTAATACAAAGGAAGGTCTCGAAAAGGGAATAGGCATCATCAAAAATGACCAACAACGGAATGTTTACTCCAGAGTGATGGTAGAACAGGCCTTAGCTAGAAGACAGCAAGAGCTCCACAAGGAAGAGAAGCAGCCACAACCAGTACTTGTACTTCCCTACATCAGATGATTATCGGAAAGGATGAGAAGGATTGGGTCCAAGTACAACATCAGGACCTGCTTCAGATCTGGGAACACTATCCGTAGCAGCCTCACGAAAACCAGGCCACCAAACGCGGACTGCGATTCCAAGAATTGCATTTACTGGATACCCTGCGAGTGCGGAGAATCATACATCGGTGAAACTAAGAGGCCATTGAAAGTTTGCATTGCTGAGCACAAGAAACACACACAGCCAGGAGAAACCAGCAAATCCGGAATGGCAGAGCATGTTTGGACTCATCAACACAACATCAAGTGGTCTCTAGCTGAAATCATCCACAGGGAGGAACACTGGTTTAGGTGAAAATTCAAAGAAGCTGCGTATATTTTGTCTAACAACGCATTTAGTCAAGCTAGCGTAGAGATAAGAATCACACGTTAAAAGGTAACACCTCGTTAGTCCTTAGCTCGCACAAGTTTGTCAACTTCTGGGAGTTGTCGTTCGTATGGGGGCGACAGCTGATTAACGGAAAAACAGATTTTGAACAGATTTGAACAGATATGGAAACCTCTAATCAAGCAAAAAACGACCTATTCCCGCCAATGAAGCAGAGAGAGGGAAGAGGGGATAGGTGAAAGCACTCGAATGACCTATAAATAGTCAGATCTAGGAGGAATAAGTCCAGTTATCACCCGAAGACGATTGTGGATACTAACAATCGAAACGTCGTGACATAACTTGTTTTGAAATATTTTTATTTTTCATTTTTGTTAATAATAATTCTTAATTTTATTTTTCAGCTTTCATTAATATTACAATTTTTATTTGTTTGGTTGTTGCTTGTATGTTATTTCTCTCTAATTTAAGTTTTTCGTTATATAAAATTGTTATTTTCGGTTAATCTTTTAATTTTTAATTGTTTTTTCAGGGTTCTCAAATCAATTTATATTATATTAGACAATGGAAGTCCAAACTGATGAACTATATCATTGTTATTATCATATATTTTCTATATTATGAATTTCATGAATTTCTAATTGAGTATGGCATCACAAAGGTTTCTCTCAGTAATCCTAATCCTTTACTTATATGTGATTGATGGTGTGTTTTATTTTGAATGATGAAAGACCACCGACAACAATCAATCATAACAACAGATAATAATAGTAACATATCCTCAGTTGCACAATCCCATTCTGATGGATGAAATATTCAATTATTTTGAAGAAAATGCCATGTAGACCTTTACCAAAAATCAAAATCAAAATGCCTTCATTTCATATTTCTCTTTCAACTCTACGCACAGAGTGGGTCATAGAGGACACTTTTGAAGAAATCTCCTGTTTTCAAAATAGATGACAAACTAAATGGTGAAAAACATATATCGATATCCATCATCGTTTCAGAGTTGCAGCATGTTTTTTTAGAAAATGTGCATTTTCGAAAAGATGCTGTAACTTTTTTTCTGTCGAAAATTTCTTGTTTCTTAAGAATATGTTTAAAGCACTTTCCACGTAGAATACAATGGATTTTATTTTAACCCAGATATGCCTGAATTATTTTTTTTTGTTTTTTCAACATTACTGCTTTAATGTTAACAATTTACCTTCCTTAAGTCAAGAAAAACACATTTCGTTTATTTTTTAGTATTTACATTCTGTCTTTTAGGGTGTCCTTGAAAAAAGACAATCGGCATATAGGTAGTAGTGTTATATAAAAAATCGTAATTCATGGATGAAGTGTGTATATTTTCTATAATGTTATCCAATTTGGTACTGAAGAGCCTTAGAGCAAGTGTCTTAAGGCGGAACATCGGTGTATACCAGTTGAGGGTGACAGTGTTCCATGTAAGAGCAATTTGTTACCATTCATTCAAAGTAGAACTCATGTGAATGATATCTGATTTTTATTCCACAACGAATATTTGAAATACAAACTGAGTAGAGAAAAGTATCTTCTGTATGATTCAGTGTTCATATAAAAGTATTTGTTTCGAAAGAATTTTTTCTTTCGTTTCTCGATAACGCAGACATTGACTGGGTAGACAGTGCTAAAACTCTTGGCGTAACCATAGAATAGCTCTTTGTCTTTCCATGAACATGTGACAAAATATTTTCAAAGTATCATTCTTCAAACTCAAATCGCTATACAAATTCAAGTATCAGTTTTCAGAAGAAATGAAACCCAGGTTAGTTAAAACCCTTATTTACCCCCATATCGAGTATTGTTGTTCGGTGTATTACAATTTTTTGCCGCAATATAACAAGCATAAGTATTTATGTAAGTATATAGTAAATAAGTATTTCAATTATTTTCTCACACTCACTGTATAATTTTTGGAAGGAGTGGAAGATATCCTTTGGCTAACTCTTTTCCTTTTATATGTAAATGTATTTTATATAAATAATAAACGATATTATTATTATAAATCAAAGCAGATATTGGTCTTCCATCCAACCATTTGATTTTTCAAACGGAAATTCAGAAACGAGTCTCCAGGATGAAAATCCTCACGAAATACTGTTATTGTTGCAGAAACAATCGAAATCGAAGAAGATGCTCATATCCACGTTGCTGAATGGCGATTACAAAAAGTCCAGTCTCCAATTGAGTTACAACATGATGAAAGTATCCATCACGATCATTTCGAACCACTGGAATTTCATGGCCATTGGGATGTTGGTGGCGATGCTACATTCACTAATAATGGATTCACAGGTGAGATGAGAAAATAAAAAGAGTTACTGAATTCAGCCTTCAGAATAATTTGTCGTTAGTATCGTGTTGTAAGGTTACTTTTTTCTCTTTCCAGTATCATGTAACAGTTCACCTCGTTTCACGATAAATTAATACCCGGGGAGAACACACTAAACTGACTTTTTTTCTGTATCTGTTGTATTTTTTTCACCAGTAGCTGTCTATAATAATAATAATTACGAGAATTGTAGTGATACAGATTCAATAACTGGTAACGTGTCCTGAAAATTCCTTTTTCCATTTACTCTCATTCATTGTCCAGATCTTTTTATTTTGACAAAACACCAAACATCTACAGAAAGAAGATATTCTTCATACCGAGTAATCAAAATGATATGACAATGAAACAAACACAGCATAACTATTTTTTTTTTCATAGGAAAGGGTATAGTATTTTCAATACCGATTGGAACAGCAAAAAATAATATGCCGACATAGGCGTCGGCATATAATTTTTCAGAGGTAGTTTTTCAGTTATTTATTCTTACAACCATCGCAATTGATCACTCCATGAAATTGATAATAACCAATTCTGATAAGGGCAACACCACAGTTATCATGTTAAAATCTCAATATGAACAATTATCTCATGAACTCTTGAATGATGGAGATTACTATAAAAAACTCAATCATAATCCAACTTCCACTATACAACAAAAATCTAATGCACACATCAAAAAATTACATGAAAAACATTTCATCAGTAAGACATCTAAAGAAAATTTTACCATATATAACTCCATTGTTCCAAAATTCTATGGTTTACCAAAAATTCATAAACCAATATTGAGTTTGAGACCTATCATATCATCCATTGATGCACCAAATAGTAAACTCTCAAAGTTCATTACAGAAATTTTAACCAATGCATATAATACAAATAATCAATATTATATTAAAGATTCTTTTGAATTTTCTATTTTCATGCAAGGAATGAAACTACCTAAAAATTTCGAAATTATAAGTTTGGATGTTATATCACTTTTTAGTAACATACCAATAAATCTGGTAAAACACAGCATTGAAAGACATTGGAATATTATTACTAATCATACCAAATTAACAAAAACAGCCTTCTTAGAATTAATAGATTTCATTTTTGATACTACTGTTTTCGTTTATGACAACGAATATTATAAACAAATACTTGGTACTCCAATGGGATCAACTTTATCACCTATTTTAGCCCAGTATGTGATGGATGATTTATTACATGAATGTATTCCAAAATTATCATTTCAGGTTCCTTTTTTAAAAAAGTTTGTGGATGATATAATATGTGCTGTACCTTTTGACAAAATTGATGATATAAAAACCATTTTTAACAATTACAA